CCCCAAAACCCCAAAACCCCAAAACCCCAAAACCCCTTTTCTCGATCTTTTATTGAATTATAACTTTTAGATACTATGTCTTTTAATCTCGACATTTTCGAATCCATTGCTATCCAAAGTATTTCTGATGGATGCGAGTTCTATCCCTGAATCTACAAGCCAGATTCTGTCCATTGATTGTCTGACACTATTGACTCTGGAGAGAGCTTCTATAAGGTAACGGAACCTCTCTGGATGGTTCTCCCAATGATTCGATGTCTGGTACTTAGATCCTGACAGACTGAGACCTCTGAAATTTGCACCATTTATTTTGTTTCCGAAGTCAAATTGGTCGGGAAGTTTGCATTCTATGAACCCAATCCACATAATGCTGTTTGTGTTCGCCATCAAAAGTCTGCACAACTGTTGGTTGCTGATGATTAGGTGGTACAAGTTCAGTTCCTGACCAACCTTTGGGAAAATATGCTCTAACGATTTCTGATAGAACGTAATATCTTTGCGGTTGGACATAAAATTAAAATTTAGATCCCTCACGAGGTCAGGAAAGGAATTGTACAGGAACTGTTTTACCTCCAATTTCCTTTCAGGGATCGCTCTCAAGCTGAGATATTTTCAGTTAGGGATTTTATGGCCGAGAAGGAACTTGAGGAACTTCCAATCTTTTTCTTGATCCATATTGAGGACTAGTTTAAAGTCTTCTCCAATCTCGACTTCCTCTTCAAAATATTCATCATATGCATGGTCAAAGAGCTCACATGAGAGTCTAGTAACTTCGTGGTTGACGAAGTCATCTCTTTCTTCATAGTTTTTATTTTCTTCAAAAACTTGGGCTGGCTCTACCAACTTAACTTCTTCGACTGGGATTTCTCTAGATTCCGAGTCATCTATGGTATGATCTACCGAAGATCTCTCTTGGGGTGGATCTCTTCTTGGAATTTCTAGAAAGGACTCTTCTGCAAAACTGTATGGAATAGACTCTCTTGATGAAGCCCTCTCGATAGAGTCAATCTTGGAGAACTCTGTGGTCTTGATCTTAGCCAAGCTCTGATGCAAGAGATAATTTATATGCTCAGGGTTCTTTTTGAAATCATCGAGGCACTTCTCAATCTTTTCTTCAGTGTCTATTAAACTGCAATAACTTCCATTGTCAAGAAGATCTTGGAAAGATCCTTTAATTGATTCAAAGGTAGCTATATGATCTTGGACAGATTCGGTCGTTGAGTCTCTCAATCCTTCAGAATAGTTAGTCTGAATGTAATCCATCATGTTCTTGATCATGAGGTTTGTAACAACTATCTTCTTCGCTACATCAAGAGTGCTTGGAATTTTCTGCTTGGTCTTAAAATTAGGACAAAGGATACTTACAGAATTTCCCGAATAAACTGTTGCTTCACAGTCACTTCAGGAGTACTCCTTGGCATCTTCGTAGTAGAATACACCCTCGTTCTCACAAGAGGGTGTTGATCATGGGCAAGTGCTGATCTCCTTTTCCATTTCTTTTAAACAAATACAATTAGCTTCCTTTATTATGGGGTTTTGGGGTTTTGGGGTTTTGGGGTTTTGGGG